AGTACATGAACATTGGCTAAAGCATATGTATCATGAGATATAAATTCAAGGATTATTGGGTAACATATCGTACATGATACATATGCTTTAGCCAATGTATCATAGACTTTTAATTCAAAAAACAAATGTGTGTTTGGGTAACGTAGTACACATGTATCATGTGTTTTACCCAATGTATCATCTGCATTTAATTAAAAAAAACAGACTTATTGAGGTTACCGTGTACTTTACAATCATGAAAGAAATTTGAGGCTCCAAAAGTGAACCAGTAATGTTGTCTTTGTATGGATGACAATCACCAAATTTTGTGCGCTCAGTTTCTTCAAAGAATCCACTGTCCAGTAGGTAAGAAGGAAGCATTTTAGACAACAATCTTATCTCATGAGAAATGACTTTTTTCCTTGTGCATATTGATGAGTCAAAAACTCTTATCACCCTCTTTTTCAACTCAACAACTGGCAGCATCCAATGGAATTCTTGATCGTAGTTAATCGGAATGTAGACCTCATCTACAAGATGCCATGGTAAAGCATCAGGGATTTCAAAACCTTTGATGATGTTAATTATTGACCTCTCATATACAGATACAACTGAAGCGCGATCAACATGTTCTTGTGTATGAAGACTATCATCATCATTGTCCATGTAATACCTATCATAACAATTTTTTACATGTGACATGAACAAGCAGTGGGTTGTTGTGTATCTGTATTGATCCATGCTGCAAAGTTTTGATTTTTTACGAAGGTAGTAAAAAATCACATCAATGTGCTATAAACAAAATGAAAACATGATAAGAAATTATATCATCTAAACAATATAGAATAATATAATTATTAAATATTGATCATAAATTTTGCTAATTAAATATTATGATACTTCTATAGAATGTATCATGTATAATATAAGTGTGACTGGTATACATTTGATAATTAGATTAAGATTTTTACCTCATCAGTCCAACATTTATTTGGTTGTGACATGGCATAGAACCAATTCTTGTTATTTGGAAAAACAACAACAAAGTCCATCATCGTAAATTCAAAAGAAGAAGATTTTGATTTGTATTTATCGTCTGATGGATCCCTGCATATATGATACATAAGTTTGAGTATATGTACATGATACATAACAGTGACTTAATTACAATTTTTGTAAACAAAGTATCATGAATTAGTTATATAAAAAATAATTACCCCAAACACTTGCAAAAATAATGTATAAAACTTACTTATTGTTATGATTTTTTAGGAGCCCCCTTGACAACCAATTCATATAATCCTCAATAAGTTTCGGCAAAACTTGATCTGTAATGCCATATCCTTCGAACGGGAAATGGAGTTGAGCCGTATCCTTCAATTTCTCTTTTCCCTTCTTGCTTGACCCAAAAGAATTACAATATGGAGATTGAATATTTCTCTAAGACATTCTGTTTCTATGCGCAGGAGTGACTGAATTGGTTCTAACTCCAATCTCAGCTATTGGAATGTCAGTGGGTAATTGACTGTCGGTCAACAAGTACTGGCTGCTAGTTATATTCTGTGGATTGTAAGAATATAATAGTCTAGCATTAGTAGGATCTTTCCCCAAATCTTTGATAAGTGCATCTATTGCTGCTTGAGTTGATAGCGATATTGTTATTGAAGTGGAAGATTCCTGTATAATATGATGTAATGATTTTTAAAATAAATTTGTGTGTAATGAAATTGTGTGTCATAAAGCAAAATTCAAAAAATCTACCGATGCATCCATTATTGTTTTATCGAGCAAAACGTGAGGAATGTTGTGTTGAACATTGTCATCAACAACTTGCTCCATGATATGTTCATTTAAATCTTGGTGCGATTGATGTACGTCACCATCCTGAATATGCAGTTTTTAAATAGAAATTGTTAATATAATTTGTGTTGATACGTAACAGTGATTATACTCACGTGATACATAACATTGAGTATATGTGTATGATACATGATATCAACTAAATGAAAAATCATATACAATGTATCATAAACATTACCTTTGGAGTATCATTGACTTGTTGTTCACCCTCGTTTACAGAAACACCAACACCATCCTCAGCGTCATCCCCCACATCTTCGATGACTTGATGTTCAACATAGTTACCAGAAACACCACCACCATCCTCAGCTACACCACCCATATCAGAAAGATCAATCTGTATTTGCGGAGTTATTTGTTTCTCAAACTGAAATGTACTTGTATTAGTCTCAACATTGATGTTTTCCTTGCCTCAAGATTGCATCAATTGGAAGTGGTTTTCCTTTACCAATATAATCAGTTACTCAAATTTCTTGTCAACCTATAAATTATAAATACATTTAGGATAAGAATAAATTACATTTGATTAAAAAAATCAAAATAATTAACTTACCTAAGTTTTCAAATGTCCTTTCAACTTTTCAATATATGGAATTACATAGTTAACTTTCTGAGAATCTGCAAAACCATGTACATCAGCAGCCGAGTTCGATAACACATCTGGAACAGAACCATGTACATCAGCAGCCGGGTTCGGAGACACGTCTGGAACAGAACCATGTACATCATCAGCAGTCAAATTGGGAGGCAGATCTGAAATAGAAACATGTATATCATCATTCGTTGTCGGAGTCACATTTGATTGATCAGGCTGACTCGATTCTGAAATTTTTTTTATGTATAACCACTTTTTTTCTTCTTTTTGACGTTGGTGGAGGAGATGTATCAAACACTCTAGAAGATCTCCTCAATATCTGTTCGGGAGGTTTGGTGGAGAAATTATCAAAATCATCTTCCTCATTTGTTTGTACTAAGGGTGGTGAAGAAGAAGGAGCATGTTCAACTTCAACTAGGTCAAAAGCTTCAATTTCCTCTGTTGTTGGGACAATGTTTGAACATGCATTCTGAATGTATCACAACACATAAAACAATTTAAATGTTAATACAATACAACACATTAAATAATTAAGACAGATCACAATGTATCACAAGTTATAAATAACGATATTAAATAGACAAACTTAAAATAGTTTATTCTAATAGTAAAAAATTGATTCAATTTTACCTCTTGGAAAATGGTAGACATAAGCATTTCAAACTTTGTCTTATCAGACACAACTCTCCAATTGCACATTCTTGGATGACATTTCGTTCTTTCACAACAATTTCAGAATTTAACTAGGATGCACATTCGTATATTCATACGTTAAGTGCATACGACATCCCATATAATCGATACAATTTTTTGCTAACATCAAATCATGTCTAAGTGAACCAATGAGTTTTGAGAATGATAGCTGACCCCAAGGATAATCTTGATATCCATCATCTTCAACCATTAGAAAATCCACAATGGATATAGTTGTATTATCAAGAGTAGACAATACGAATGTATGAATAAAGAACAATATAGAAATTTGGAGTGCATCAATGATCGTTCTCCAGTTACACATCTTAAACCGTTGAACTAATTGATACTTGATAACACTATTAACTGCACCAGAAAAATCTTTTTTGGAAAAACATACAATTAGTTGATTCTAGGTATTGGAAATCATTGGTATTGCCTTTGACTTTAGGTCCAGTTAATATTGCAAATTCATCTATACCAAATTTTAGGATACACCCGCTTGAGTGTCTAATATGCAACACATTAAGGTTGCTTTGTTCCAACTCTAACAACAAGCAATTAGTGATTTCTACATTTAGTAATATCTAAAAAGGGTCCAAAAATTGTATCCCTAAACAGTTGGATTACATTCTCCCAATATATTTTTCAAAGTCATTCAGAAAAGTGTTGTTAAAATTGACAGCAAACCTTATGGGATGTGTCGGTATCTTTTTTATCTTGTACTTGAGGGGCTGCAATTTGAAAAAAAAATTTAACGATATTGAATATAAATACTAAATAAAACAACTAATACTAAATAAACAACTAATACCTTACTGATGCATGATATCAGTTTTCAAAAATTCATATAGCATAAAAAACATATGATACACATCTAATTCATATATCAAAGCATTCACTAAACACTATAACACACTGAGTCGATATGTATTAAACTTATTGTCTGATACATTATAACTATTTTCAAATACTCATGATATATATAAAATCATCTGACACGCAATTGATTCATGTATCAATGCATCGACTTAACATTATAACACACTGAGTCGATATATATTAAATTTATTGTATGATACATGATAACAATTTCAAATACTCGTGATCCATAGAAAGGCATCTGACTCGCAATTAATTTATGTATCATAAAATTAAATAAACACTATAACACACTATAAAGATATGCTCAAACGTACTATAATTTTAAAAACAATTTTAAAAGAAGTATAAAAAAGACATAACTGAAGCAATGTCGGCCTGACAATAATGGTTGATGATGCTTTTCTCTGTTTTTGGTGTATTTTACCAACCTTTTGATTTAGATGATTCCCCAATATCTTTGTTTGAATCCTTCCGAACATTCATAGGATCATGCAAAAACTTTTTTCTATTTTCTTTCCAATTTTTCATCGTCCGAATCATAAATCCTCCTATTTGTAAAAGGATCCATTAATATGATGTAATAGAACGATGAACAAGAAGAAAAGAAAAAAAAAGAACGAATGATGAAGTAAGAAGAAGAAGAAGAAGAACCAGAGATGGATGATGGAGTAAGAAGAAGAAGAAGAACCAGAGAACAATGGTAGTTCCAATTTTCAGAAATTTCAGATTTTTGAATTTTGAAATTCAAAAATTGCATATTAAATGTTGCGAAACGTGTTTAATGAAAAGTAATAATTCAAAATTCAAAAAGTGATTCAGAAGATTGAGTGTTTTAGTGGAGAAAAAATAGACATGACATTGGAGAAGTGTATGTTATAGGAGAGATAAGGCTACGTATCTCTAAACTTCTATGTTATAGGAGAGATAAGGCTACGTATCTCTAAACTTCTATTAAAATTAAAAAAAAAGAATTATGTAATATTTAAAAAAAGAAGGGAAAATTAGAGAATACTAAACTTATAGTTGTGTACTTAAGTTATTTTTCCATTTTTTAATCCGAACTACATATTAATGTATTCGAGACGGTATTTATTGTGTCCGAGATACATATTAACGTATCCGAGCTTCAATTATTGTATCCTATTTTTCAAAATTTTAAGCAATTTATGTAATCAGATACTTATTAGGAATAAATTGTAATTTCATATTAAAGCTATGAAATTTATATAATTTTCACAGAATTTGTTGGGTAAATCTATGAATTGATAATTGACTAAAGGTGTATATGAGACGAAACACAAATGTTAAACCCTTTTTCATTGTGCAATCGGGCTATTTATGAAAAAGGGGTATATAAGAGTACATATTTCAGTTTATTATGTGTGTTCTGAAGTCAAGTGATAAACAAAATTATCATGAAATCAAAAAAATAAAAAATGACCAAAAAGAATCTCAAACTATTTAAAATGAAAAAAAAATTCCTTCCATTTAATTTTTGCCAAATAATACCCTTGAACTATTAAAAATAGGACAAAAATTGTCCACGAGGTTAGCAAACTGATCCCATTATCCATATTCGGACCTCCAAGTTTCATGTATCCACTTTAAAAACTTTTTTTATTACTCCCTATTTAAAAACCTTGAGAAAAGATTACCCATTTATTCAATTATATAGACAAAACTACACATTTAAGTTATTAAAAGATTAATATGCATAATTATATTACACAGGGGCCAAAATGGTAATAACATAATAATATAGTGACCATTACAAGTAGAGTCATAGTTCTTGATATGTTAAAACTTACTTATAAGCCAAGCACATATATACTACATAATATTAGACAGACAAAACAGGGCATAACAGGCAAACTAGGTGCTACAACAAAAATAATGTGTTAGCAAAATCATGGCACTTACATGTCTTCTTCATGTTCATATCCACCTTCCATATCGATTTCCTCAAATGTGAATTTAATATTGGGTGATGCTCTGCGGAATTCTTTCATCTCATCGATCATTTGCTTACACAAACGGAAAAGGTAAAGTGTACAATTCCAAATGAAGATCTCCTCAAGTACCAAGGCAGATGCCAATATAAACTTCATAAACTCCATTTCCATCTCGAGACCAGTAAACATGTTCACTTTAACTCTTTGAAGCTTCACAGCACCGCTTGAGGATGATTGTGCTCGTAGCAACTCTACAACAGGTTCAACAATATCCCCACCGACACTTGGTACTAAAGAATATTTGAGGAACCGTTAGTTAAGCGAGTTCAGATAAATAAGAAACCATGTTCAATCACCTTAATGAGAAAGAAAAAACAAGAGTGTGCTTACGAATTCAAGTGTAAGATCTTGTAATTTAGGACAGCTTGTAATCAAGTAAACTGCACTTGAAACCACCTCGGCATTTCTTAAAGACATGGACAAAATATTGAGAGATTTGATATTGTACAGCGCAGTTGGGGGACTCTCTGGTAAACCTCCCTTGATCAAGTACTAGAAGCAAGTCAAAAATTACTTTAGCACACCAGTCAGATTCATCATTTAATTATGATAGTGATATCACAAATGTACATTACCTCTAATATTGCACCACATATATCCAGCTCCAGCAGTGAAGGCATGTAATGGAAAAACTTTGGGAAATTAGAGCAAACAGGAGATGTATCATTCAAAAGTCGTCGTCCAAGGATCGCCACAGTAACTTTTTCAAGCATAGGAGCATTTTTGAAGGAAATGGATTTTGTTTTTCCAATAAACTCACAGAATTTGAGATTAGCGGCATCAATTTCAAGGATGTCAATGTTTGTGCAGCAACGCAACCTCAATCGTTCAAGCAACGGGCTTTTAGAGATGAGATTAGTAAATATTGATGGATCAAAAGTGACGCACAAGATCGAGATTAATAAGCTTCTCAAACCCTTTGAAACCGAGTGGAGGGTGGAACAAGCAATCTTGAAGTTCCAAACACCTTAGCTGCTGGAATGTAAAAAGATGATGAGGTGATTGATATTTGTTTCCAATGCGTACAACAAGGGTGAATTCCTGGACATTTTTCTTCGACGAGAAGTGCATCCAATGATCAATATCAGGACAACTCGTAAAATTACGGAGTCTAAACTTCAATATTGGTCCTTTATGGACTAATAGGACTTGGTAAATAATTCTCTTGGCTTCTTCATCTTGTTAGAAATACTTGTAAAACTCATCATTAAAATCAAGTTCTTGACGTGTTACCCATTTGTAACTCCAGTCTTTTGACAAGATACTAGTCTTCACTGCATCTTTCCTAGGCAAGCACCTAAGAATAACATCGAGAACATTACAAGGCAAATTACTAATTGTATCTACACCAGAAGTCGAAGCATTCCTCATGGTCTAGCAAAATAAGTTTGACAGCAACTCTGAAAATTAAAATCAGGGATGAAGGCAATATCCAAATACAATTCAGTAATGTGTTGAAAATAACTAGTGGTTCAACGTCATTAGAGAATGATACATGATTGAGCACGGGAAAGAACATGACCTAATAGGCAAATTGCTAATTGTCTTTACCAATATCCATCTCTAATTCTTACATGCAATAGCTTCGAACCCTAACCTAATATTTAAGTGAGCCCACTATCCACCAAGTGATTTCAAAAAGAATCCGGAATTAATATTTCACACCATTTCTGGCCAGTTGATGGGTTGAAAATCACGATTTCTAAGGTTCGAATTCCAGCGGCGTGAAAACACAAGATGATTTGGACAACTTATGGTACAAGTGAATTAGTCGGTTAACAGAGACATGATTATCCATAAAAAAAAAAATCCCAAAGAAAACCTAATCTGATGGGTTGATGAAGATCCACAGAGACAATTAAGTTTATAAAAAATGCTTACCAGTAGTGAGACTGAGAGAGATTAAAGCCAGAGGCAATACCCAAATGAAGGACGGATTGGGGTTTATTTGAAGAACCCTTTTATAATAAAAAATAATTGATAAATGAGTCATTACTTTTGTCTCTAATTACTTCCCATTAATTCCTTGTACTCGTCCCTAATATCCTCAATTAATTGCCTTAAAAAAAATTATTTTTTGAAAATTTTCACTACATGGTAAATTGATAAATTTAATATGTTAATAACTGTTTTTTAACAAGCATATCAAGTCAAAAAAGCAGATAAAGTAATTAGAGATTTGAGATATTGATAGAAACAAGGATATAATTAATAGTGCACTTACAAGGGGTATATGAGTGCCTTTGTGCCATTGATACAAGCCAGAAGAATCACATGTGAGACCCGGGTTTAAATTTAGTTATGAAGTCTTTTTCACTGTTTTTTATTTTAAGTTTAGCTTATAGCTCATATTTAAACTAAGATAATATTGATGCATCTGAAGCATCCTTTCTGATTGTTTTTTTTATAAATTTAGATTAGAGCTTTTATATATATATATATATATATATATATATATATATATTAGCTCCATGTCCTATGTCTAGTAAGGATATAAATATTAAATTATTCATTCACAAACGAATTTTATTTAAAAATTGAAAAACTATATCACAATAATTCACTCTTTGTGTAAATGAATAGCAAATATTAGAAATATTTATTTAGTAAAGATGAACTTTCCCTAATAAACAAGAGGAAGCCATAAATTAGAAGATAAAAAACGTAATAATTTTGTCAATAACCGAGTCACTGATTTTATAACAGAAAATTGACATGTCTGAGAAAATATTTAAATTGTAAGTCTTAAATTTTTAACTATCGTGTGATATGGGTATTGCATTGTTTCTAATCTAAGTTGCTCGAATTCTTTCACTTTCAATATCACACTCATGTCAACACAATGGGATGTTGCTTAGTGGAGGTGAGATTCATATCCAATCTGGTCAACTAGTTTGAATACTTTGATCAAATTCGAGGGAGAAATTCTAAACAAAAACAAATATGAAATTGAAGAAAATGGAGTGCCTTGTATGTTTAAATTTCTATTATCACTCTCATTCTCTTTTTATCTGTTTCTAGGATTCTCCTCTTGATAAATTTTATCTCCGTATGTTCTATGTATATGAATTATTTTTAGCTCAATCCCACTCCATCCATACATGGATCTATATCCACGAATCTTAAAGTTTAGATCATACAGGATCCGACCCGACCTCTAGAACCTGAGTCCGAGCAATATAGGATCTAAGTATGGAGCGAAAGATCTCATGACAACATCTTATGCAAATACATTCTGGAATGAAAATCTCATAACAAGTAGAGTTGTCAAAATGGTTGGCCCAACCCTAATGAGCTAGAAAGTTAAATAGATTGAGGCGAGTTGCCCTTTTAGTTAAAGGGCAAATAAAATAGCGGTCAGCCCAGCCCTAAGCGGGCCACAGGTTGGGACGGGTTGGCCCTTCAACAAAAAAATGAACAATATTACTCTCTTAGAATGAGTATATGAGATAATCGAATGTTGACGTCTATGAACTAAACATCAATACATACAAAAAAAAATTTATGAATCACGCACTTCATCCAATACTTACAGAAATACATTTATGAATCTCACACTTCGATGAATGCTTACCAAAAAATACATAATAGTCTACGTAAGATTTAGCGAAAAAATATTGATTATTCAACCATTTCTCCCAAAAAAACAAGCTAGTTTAGAAGTCTTGATTTTTTATGCTTTTAACATATTTATTGATAAAACATTTATATATGTGTGTGTGTGTGTGTGTGTGTGTGTATGTGTATATATATATATATATGTATATATATACGTATATATATGTATATATATATATATATGTATATATATACATATATATGTATATATATATATGTATATATACATATATATATATATATAAATATTCATAGCCCACAGGCTGGCCCATAGGCTTGCGTGTTGGCCCTACGAGGCTAGCGGGCCAAGTGAGGTTGGGCTAAAAAGCCTCATTCTTAAATGGGCCAAAAATAATTATGCCCAACCCCACTTAATTCAAGAGCTGAATTGAGTCGGCCTCGCGAATCAAGCTCATTTTGACGGCTCTAATAATAAGACAGTAATAGCCATGTGAGCAACAGGAATAGTTAAATCTAAACTCTCATAGATCTAAATGGATGTGTTTGTCAATTATTCATAACCTCTGAATTGACTAGATATATGAAAAAGGATATATCTATCTGTCCTGTTAGACCCATATAGTTAGATCTCTAAGAAACTAACAATTAAGAGACTAATATTATTTATAAAAAAGAATGATTCAATATTTATTGTGTAAAAATGATATCAAATTTGTTTTATTCTTTTTTCGGTGGAAACAAAATTGTGTATAATGTATGTATCATCCAATATATTTTAACTTTTGCTCGTAAAATCAGTCAATACACGTCTTTTTGAACACGGCGGCTTCTGATTCTGTCACACTTTGAATTTGATTGAAAAGTCATAACATACACAAAAAATAATACTCCTATCTAAGCAAAATCATGGAATTTATATACCTTCATACTCATATGCGATCTTACAACTCTATTTGTTCAAATATGAATTCAACATTAGGTGATGTTCTGCGAATCATCATTTGTTTGTACGAACAATAAAAGAGACCTTAAGTACTGTTGGAGTGACCAAAATAAACTTCATAAATTCTATTTTCATCTCAAAACTTATGACAAGTTCACATAAACTTTTTGAAGTTTCTCAGCACCAAATGAAAATGATTGGCATCGTAGAAATTCTACAACAGGTTCAGCAATATCCTATATAGTCACATGATCCTAAAAGAATCAAGGAACAATCAATTAGACGAATTTGGATGAATGCCGCTCAAGCCAATTAATGGTCTTAAGTCAAAAATATATATATATATATATATATATATATATATATATATATGAGATTCAAGTTTCTTTTTTAATAAAAAATGTTTTTATTTTTTTATAGTCTTAAACTACAGATATATATATATCAAAATATTTTTTAATCTTGTGGTATTAAACATATCATGTGGAAGTTAAATTTAAAATTTGATCCATAAAAAAAAATTCTTTAATGTTTCGAAACAAACTAAAAAAACGTAATAAATTAAAATTATATAGTGTATTTTTCTTTATTAAAAAAATCTAATACTCCTAATAGTTTTATTATTGCTAAAAAAAAATTAAACCCTTCGATTTTGGAGGCTAAGGTATGCCTCTTTTTTAAAGGCACTAAGCACCCTTGCCGATAAAGTACAAATCATATTAATTCAATCACCTTAATGAAAAAATAAAAACAAAAACAAGAGAGTGCTTACAAATTCAATTGTAAGATCTTGTAAAGACATGGACGAAAAATTACAAGTTCAATTATCCCAAATGTATGATACCTCTAATGTTGAACCGCACATATTCAGTTTCCGCAGTGAAGACGTGTAGTGAAAGAACTTTGTAAGATTGGAACAAAAAGGAGATGTATTCGTCAAAACTCATTCTCCAATAAAACACACAGTAACTTTTTCAAGCATAGGAGCGTTGTGGAAGGAAATGAATTTTGATTTTCGAGTAAACTCAAAGAAGGCATCGATATCATGGTTATCAAAGTTTGTGCAGCAACGCAACCTCAATTGTTCAAGCAATGGGCTTGTAGAGATGAGATTTGTTAATATTGATGGATCGAAAGTGACATGCATAAGATGGAGATTATCAAGCTTCTCAAACCCTTTGAAACCGAGTGGAGGGTGGAACAAGCAATGTTGAAGTTCCAAATACCTTAGTTGCTGGATGTTAAAGGTGATGAGGTAAATGATTTCCTGATCTTGCATGAAGAGTGAATTCGTGGACATTTTTATTCGATAACAAGTGCATCCAATGATCAATATCAGGACAACTCGTAAAAACTAGATAGTCTAAACTTTAGTTTTGGTCCTTTATGGACTAATAGGACTTGGTAAATGATTCTCTTGGCTTCTTCATTTTGTTTGAAAGACTTGAAAAATTCATTATTAAAAATCAAGTTTTTCACGTGTTATTCATTTGTACCTCCAGTCTTTTGACAAGATACTGGTCTTTATTGCATCTTTCCAAAGCAAGCACCCTAGAATTCCATCGAGAACATTCTAGACAAATTTTTAATTGTATCTACACCAGATGCCCGAACATTCCTCATGATCTAATAACAAGTTTGTCAGCATCTCTAAAAATTAAAATCAGGGATAAAGGCAATATCCAAATACATTTCATCAATGTAGTGTTAAAAACTAGTGGTTCAATGTCTGCAACTGCATAAATTTGTATCATCTACCAATATCATAAAGAGAAAACAATGATACATGATTGAGCAGCAGCAAAGAACATAGTTTTGAAGACGATAGTGGTGAAGGCAAGATTTTCATAGAGGGATTCAAAAAATTGTTCTCTCGTGTGCAGGGGATTCACCCTCAGTAAACGTCCACCACTGGAAGATAGAATAACAGCGAATTTCGCATGGAGAGAACATCCAGGGGAGTAATGTTCTCTCATCTCATCTTGAAGAATGCCTAAATTGCTCAATTATATATCAAAGGAAAAAAAATTAGTCAACAGTACTTAAGTGCATTTAGCAACTCAACTGTGAATAACATCTATTCTTCTTTTAATTTTATTACATCAAAGATTGATCAATCTCAATGTGACCTGCTGCTAGGGAAGAATTGAACAATTTATACTTGTGCCTAGTATTCAACTCGAGATAGCCTACAAACCATATAGGGGATATAAACGCACAAAGCAAGTCCTATCAATAGGTTTGATTCCGAAGGCATTGAGGGGATTGATCCTGGGTCATCCACATGGATGACCACCTGAGTCAATTAGAAGGTTTGATTCCGAAGGTATTGAGGGGGATTGATCCACCTGAGTCAATTAGAAAGACACTTCTTGTGAGGTTCGAATTCCAACGGCAGGTTCAAATTCCAGCAACGGCAACGACACAATAATCAACAAGTATAACAA